CTTTCAATAGTTGCAAGCTAATTTCATATTCAGCATTTGTGAAGGTAAGGGACGCTTTTCGGGATAGGGAAGTGCTTAATTTGCCTGTCTGAATTGGAGAGGCTGAATAGACATGACCGGGTCGGGGGGGGGAGGGGGCTGTCAGAGAACTGGGCACTGATGGAGTGATCATATATATATATAATAATAATAGGTAGTTTCAGTCCTTGAATTTGATAGACGAGTTACACAAGTGATGACATAGCTGCAGTTACATCATCGCGCCAGTAGGTGGTGACACTGAATCACTCACTCAACTAAACAGATTCAATCAAGACACTGATTCATTCAGTAACAAAACAAGTGACTGGCCCAATCCAAAATCATGTACTCTGAGTAAGTGCGTAGTATTAAGTATGAATGTAATCTGGATTTACTACATTTGTCATGTTATCATTTCAAATCTTCATCTGTGTACTTTTTAACCTACTATTTTATTTATGAATATGAATTTGAAAATTACACTTTTCGCATACTGATTTTCACCTACTATATAGTAGGAAAGTATACGATTTTGGATTTAGCCACAGTAATAATGGGTGAGTCATTGAATCATTTATTCAATCGAACTGATTCAATTTATTTAAAACCACTGATTCATTCAGGAACTAAACAATGCTAGAGTGTGTTGCTTGGAGATGTAAAACAAAAAAGCAGAGCTATTTTCATTGGCGGCAATATTATGTCTCAATATTATGACAATATTAAGTTACTTCATAACTTCTTGTATTATTTTAACTATTGTATGAAAGCAATATGGCATACAATCGACATTATGCAACAAACGCTATCGACTGAAATTGTATTGAACAAGAAACATTCTTGTAAGAAAGAGACATAATAGAAAGAGTTGCTACAAGTACCTAGCTGTGTTCATTTGTTACTGTTGTTTAGTGCAATCCAGAGATGAAACAAAACAACCTCCAACCATTCAGAAAACGTTTTGTGGAGTTCTTCTGCTTAAGTTATCCTTTTCAAACTGTTAACAGAAGGACATCGGATGATGAGAGTTCCTCCTTACCCCCACCCCCGCCCAAAATGGCTCCCTCACTCACAGCCACTCCAGAGGGACTAGGGGTCTCTGGCACTCAGTGCCTCGCCGTCCGCTCTGAGACCGCCCTGCCAAGAAAGAGAAGGGTCTCTCATTTTTCTGACACTCTTGTCCTTCAGCCTATTGATCGGTAGGGAGAGAACATCCCTACCATGGCCACTAATAGAAAGTGAGCCCTTGTACTGTAATTGGCAGGAATTAATCAGGAGATGTGTTTAAAGGAATGTTTCAGGTTATTTACAACAGCATTTGTGGCATAATATTGGAGAAATTTCAGCTTTTGAAAAAAAAAAAAAAACATAACAAAATACTGGTTACAAGCACTTAAAATTAAAGTAAACAGGGTCGGACATAAACTGTTAAAATGTTTATAGCCAAAAGTAGGCAAATAAAATAGCCAGAAGATCTATTCAATTTTATTCAATTTTATTCTATTCTATTCTATTCATGAATATATATATATATATATATATATATATATATATACGCCCAAAATGGCTCCCTCACTCACAGCCACTCCAGAGGGACTAGGGGTCTCTGGCACTCAGTGCCTCGCCGTCCGCTCTGAGACCGCCCTGCCAAGAAAGAGAAGGGTCTCTCATTTTTCTGACACTCTTGTCCTTCAGCCTATTGATCGGTAGGGAGAGAACATCCCTACCATGGCCACTAATAGAAAGTGAAGTTCATCAGCCGCTGCCTGCTGATCCCCTCAACAGACATACAGATCTATAAAGGCCACCCAACTAACCTTTTTCTTTTTTACCTTCTCATGTCCCTTCTGTCTTCAACTTTTCTCACATTTTATATATTTATTTATTTGCCCATTTTTTCAAAGGACTCTTGCTGTGTTTCCCCTCTTTTTTATTTTTTATTTTTTTATTTTAGGACTAGTCCACTAAAAAGAGTAGTATGCCAGACTGTTGTTGCAATCCAAAGATGTTTCATTAGCAAGGCAGGCTGTATTGCAAACAAAGCTGAGGTTGTAATCAAACTAACCCCTTATACGAAGAATCGTCCTTTAGTGCCTGTGATAATACGGTGGATTGGAGGACAATCAGACAGGAATATTTATGTGTTTCTCTACAGTTTCTTTCCCATAACGAAGCTACTTTGAGACGCACAGCTATTATTCACATTTTTCACTCACATTATTCCAATTGCATGCAGAGAGCGTCTACCAATGAGTGTGTGCAATGAGAGGAGGATTACATTCTAATTACAAAATAACACTGAACACCTCCATCTGGCTGAACCCTTTTATAATCCAGTATAAAAGATGACCGTAACCTTGGGTGAAGAAAATAAGGAGAGCGAGCTTCTTAAATACACACATGTACACGCACACACACACACACACACACACACACACAAAGAGAGAGAACTAAACCCTGCTGTCTTTTTCTTGACTAAGCGAGGGAGCTTTATTTTGTTGGGGACATGCAGTCGTGGTTTGTTGTCAGTGCTGGGAGAAATGCACATTTCTCATTCAGGCAACTAAGGGGTGAATGAGCTGCCGTAGATACACACAGCCCTCAGGCCTCCACGCTGTCGGTCCTCAGCACAGCTCCACTGTAGCGCAGTGATAAGCTAAGGAAATGGACTCTGAGAATGACAGGTAAACCTGCACACTATTCATGTGTTTATGGGGAAGTTTGTCTAGTGCAGAGCTGGCAATTTAACATATTCATTTAGTACAAAAAATGATGGGCTAAAAATGACTGAATATTTGACCCCTACGTAAAATTTGTAATAATTAACAGAAAGTGAACAGAAAAATGGAATGACATAGAACAGAAGGCAGAAGTCTTAACGTGCATTTTAAAGCTTGAATGGTGTTTAACATGACACAGAAATGGAAAAACAAAAATACACATTTTTGAGGGGATTTTCTTTTAAAATATATATAAAAAGTGTATATGATCTAAGTAGTATGAATGTAATCCGGACTAACTATATTTGTCCCTGGGAAGAATTAGTTTTTGGATGCAGCCACAGTCATTATAAGTAAGTCACTGAATCATTCACTTAACTGAATCAATTCAATTCAGAATCAATTTGAATCAAATTTATTCTACTGAAAGCCATAGTTTGTTTCTCTTTGTCTAACAAATCAAACAGTATTCTAACAGTTGGAAGAAAAAAATTAAGTGTAAACTTAATAGACATTTTTAGAATATAGAATTTATATTTTAGTTAGGAAAGATTGATAAACTGGATTATGAATGGATCAACATACTGTAGCCAGCATAGGTATTAACCTTATAGGCCATGGCAAACAATTATGAGGAAATATGATGAATACAATTTCAAGCTGAGCCTAGAATGAGAAACTTTTGAACATAAGTCATTTGTTCTTTCAACAGTAAGATTTCTTTAACCAGCACTTACACAGAGAGCTTTGTCAGAAAAGGACAGTTTGAGTTACACTCTGTCAGTCAGCTGAGTCACAAACACAAAACTATTGGAGGAAAAACACACACACAAAGCTGACCTTTTAAGAAAACCTTTCACATTTAGATCATATTTCCACATCTCACTATCATCTTTTAGTATAATCTAACACCAAATCTTGCTTAATGATTAAGGGTCAAATAAGGGTGAAAAAAGTCAGATTCAAATCCAACACATCAATCAGTCTATTGAGGCTTTCCTGCGTTTTCAAACCACATCTAGGCAGCTGCAAGAGCAATATGCTTTCATAAAACAACATTCAAATCACAAAACCCAAATGCAATTATTAAATCTTGCTTCCAGGCATGTTATTGTGCAATGTTTCAGTTAGAGCTGAATGAATGTTGAGTAATATTACACAAGTCTATTAGTCAGGATAAGACTGAAATCCACTCTGCCTTAAACCACCCTCTTATTCCTTTCAATTCGAGCCCACAAGTGCCATAAAGCCAGCCAGAATGCTCAACTTATCACGAATTATGACCACACATGAGCCATCACACCACACCCACTGCCATTCATCAATACTGAAAGAGCCAAGAGAACTGGAAGCTATCAATAAACATGCATAAATTCACACAGAATGTCTGATATTACAAATATGACTATGGTAACTGTTTGTCCCCTTTGCAGGGCATCAAAACACAGGCAACTCATTCATCTGACATTCTGATTGGAACCAACTCAATTCAATTTTGTATGTTTACGTGAGTACGGTCAGAAAACGAGGTTTTGATGGCATTGTGATATGCTAGAGGTTCAGTCATAACAGACAGATGGCCATACAAATCATCCGTAATAAGAAATACATGCTAACTATCTAATTTTACTGATACATTCCTATTCCTCAGGAGCACTGGAAATGTTTTAAAGCCACAATCCAAATGATACCCAAGAGAATGAAATGCTGGGCTGAGTTTGGTTTGAAATTTATCTTCATGCATAATCACTGGAAGATACATTTTCACTGAATATACATTTTCGGAGTAAGCTAGCAGACATCGTATAAAAGTACGACTTACAGCATTAGTAACATGTTAGGAAAGAAAGAAAGAAAGAAAGAAAGAAAAAGAAAAAGAAAAAGAAAAATGATCTTGATTATTTGAAAAAGTCTTGAACTGTTACTGGGTGAAGTCTGTAAAAAAAAAAAAAAAAAAAAAGAACATTCATGAACTTGGCTGTCCAAAACAGCTAAATTTGTCTGCTCAATTAAAACTACACCAACTTTCTAAATCAAAGGAAATTACAATAATCATGACAACATTTCTCTGTCATTACTGCACCACATACCAGAGATCTGGATCCCGTTCAGACACAGCTCTCCTAACTGTCTGGGCGAAACCATCAGACATTTTTAGTAAACTTAATGGCAGCCCATTCCAGAGGGACAGTCTCTTCTCCAACCGCTTATATTCATTTTCTGTGATGGGTTTTATGTGCAGGCGAAACCATCAGACATTTTTAGTAAACTTAATGGCAGCCCGTTCCAGAGGGACAGTTCACATCTCCAGTCTCTTCTCCAACCGCTTATATTCATTTTCTGTGATGGGTTTTATGTGCAGGATGAACCCGATAGCCTGAAATGAAAAAAAAAAGACATGCTTGAGAAAAAAAAAAGAAGAAAATTCTGTCGTAATCATTTACTTACCCATGTGCCATTCTACACACATATAACTTTCTTTCTTAAGTGGAACATAAAAGTTAGATTTCTTACGAATATCCTGGCCACTCTTTTCAATATACTATGAGTATATATACAACTGTTTAAATGAATGTCTTTACTGTCACTTTTAACACTAGAACCGCCAGAGGTCGCTGTATACCTAAAAGCGCCAGCGGGTAAATTTTACCCACGCACAGTAGCGAACAATAAACGATAGCTTATGACAAGACAAAAACTAAATAATTAAACCAAAGTTTGACCAATTAGATTAACGTGAGGCTAAAACATGTACGTTTTTGATCTGGTTTTATCTAAATGATTTTTAACAACATTGGATTGTAAATTACATTATTTTAGTAAAAGTCAATGACTGGGAGACTTGAATGTTTTGTTGAAAATCTGTTACGTACATTCATTCTTGCAGAATAAAATCATTATTTTATTATCCATATGATTTGTACAATCTTGATATTCACTGTAGCTCTTCTTGCGGCATGACGCATGAGAGAAATACTGTGACAATGTCACTTTCCTAAACAAATGATTTGTTAATGAATAAGTTCAGAAAATCAGTCTGAATGATTTGGTTATAAATCAGACTGATCCAGTTCACTAGTTTAACTCCCTGACTCAAACGCTGACTCAAGTATTTTTTTATTTTGTATTTATTTTTTTGTGTTCCACAGAAGAAAAAAAGTCATACAGCTTTGTATTATGTATAGGTGAATAAATAATGGCACAATGCTAGAAACAATGCTTGCTGTAAAAACATCTTTGACTTTTTAACTCTTTAACCTTTGCTGTACATATTTTTATGCAAAGGCCCACCACACTTAATGAGTTCTGTTTGTACTGATCCCATGGCTGAATGGCAGAATTTTTCATTCGTCCAGACAGCAGCTCATCTCCGGCAGCTCATTTGCATGGGCTGGCAGCTGCTCACCTCTGCAGGGCACTTGAGATGCTGTGCATGGCCTCCTCTACCTCCTTCAGCCCTTTTTTAACTTAAGACCAATGGCTCCTATTAAGGACTCAGGCAGGGCTACTGACAAGCCAGTCAATAACAATGTGAGGTTACTTCATTAATGGTCTAATGGCTGATGGACTGAGGGTTGGAAAGGGGCCAGCGAGACTGATTCTGGGTCGCAGAGGATGGAAGCGGCTTATCCAAAACCATCTAAGAGTGTGTTCAACGGCTGACGGTTACCTACATACACACTTTGAAGGAGTTTACGGAGGTCTAGGACACTAAGACACACATCCCTCCCTAAATCAATAGTGACATAGCCTGTTGTTTCCCATTGTTCTTCCTTCTCCAGTAGCTGTGCACAAGTATAAAGGAAGACTCTCAAGGTCTGTGCCGGTCTGTAAGAGGCACATGGCTCAGATTCGCACAAAGGGCTCTTTTATTTCACCGGTGACCCCAGCAGAGAACTGCCCATCATCCTCTAGCCAAATTAGCATACAGCAATCCATTAGACAGGCCCTGACACACGCAGCGGAAATCCCCAATAGGCCTGATCATAGGAGGACAAGTTCATTATTCATAATGGGAGGACAGAAAAAAAAGGAGAATGGGAGAGAGAGTTTGAGGGAGGGGAGCATTGTCAGATGTAGGCACGTACATGGCAAAAAGAAAGAGATATATAAGACACATATACAGTAAGTGTCATTATCGGGTGGCATTTGTATTCTGTAGACCTATGTAAAAGTAACTTTAATATAGACATGTTTATAAATAACACTTCTACAAAAATACAAATTCTACTTGCTATACAGTATATGCATATTTTATATATATATATAATTAAAAAAAGTTTTTACAATTAGATTTTAAAATGTCAACCCCAAAGATAATTTAAAAGTGGATATTTATAGAAATATAGGCATTTAACTGTCTTCCCAAGAAGCACTTTTCATAACCCTGAGCTTGTAATGTCATATTAAACAATTCTTTTAAAATAAATTCAAGATGGCATAATGCAAATTATTGACACATTATATAAACACATTTATATATGAAAAACTTATTTATAACCATCATTTCACTTATTCAATGCTTAAAAAATTATATTCCCTTATAGCACCTATAGTCAAAAAATAGAGAGGGGTGACATCAGTCATCAGTCAAAAAAAAAACTATTACAGAGATGTGATATAATATATAAACATGTAGTTTTTTTTTTCCTCTATAGGTTTTTTATTTCTGTGTGTAAAAGTCGATTATTTGTGCTACAGGATGTGGAGTAGGCTATATAAAAAGGTGGGAGTTTATGAATTTATAAATTCATTTATGATCACAAGAGTGTTTTTTCATATCTGCATGTTAAATGTCCCTTTCCACTGCCGATGACAACAGCTAATATCATAAGTGGCTGTGAACAAATACACATACATTAAGAAGCCATAAATGGAGAGTGAAGTTCTGCTGACATGTGTAATGTTAAATGCCAACGTACCATTTAAAATGAAAGGGCAGCAGCATTTCCAGTCTTTGTGGTGTGCCATTCAGACTCATTTAGAAATAAAATGGTCCTTTAGTGTTCTGTACCTGCCAAGAGTTGGACTGGTTAAAGACCTGCAGAAGAACAATAGAACAGACGAGGATGTAACATTAGCATTTTCCCTTCTCAACATAAGAACACTTTTCTCAGTTGTTTTCTCTCGGTCTATCTAAGAACTTATTTCAATATCTTATAGTTTCATACTTTCTATACTGAATACTGGCAAAAAGGGCTAAATCAAGTTTGACTCAAGGGAAAGGCCATGCTGACCTCCATTGCTGCCCTGACAGGCAAGTACTACATCTTTTCCTGCAGAGAAATGCCATCTCTGAAAGGCTTCCATTTGATTAATATTTATAATGGAAGTCTGACTCTTTTTTTCTCTTCTCCACAGGCTGTTTTATTGTCAGATGGTCACCTCTCTAATTTGGGGGTTGAAAATGATGGTCTTGGTTGTGGCACTCTGCCAGCACAGGCAGTTCCTCTGATGTCCCTGAAGTCCTCAGTAAGTCTCCCTCTCTCTCTCTCTCCCTCTTTTCATACCAGGCCTGTGCTGCTCAATCCTTGGCAAACCTCTAATCCTCATATTATAAGACACCTGGACAGTCTTACACTGTCTGTCTGCCCAGAACTCTCCAGATTGGTCGCGCTATTTCACACCTTTTCTCTTGCCTGATGTTCAGGCAGCTTCTCTGATATGAATAGCAGTTTCAATGTGGAAATCGTTGGCCCAGCCGGGACCAAAGCCACTGTTATCTCTCTCTGAGCCAGGACTGCTTGGGAGGGTGTGGGATAGATTTCATGTAAGTGTAAAAATGAGCACAGAGGAGGTGAGGTGAACTGGCAGAAGTTTGCAGGAATACTTCCATGGCCCCATTTACACCCAAGGCCTATCACAGGTAATCCAATCACGAGTGGCCAGCACTAAAAACAAGTGTAAATGGGGTGCAAAATATTTTGCGATTCGATCATGTAAATCACATTCGGAGCAGTGTTGTTATTAAGTAAAACAATTAAAATTGTTTCTTTATTCAATATTTATCTGAATTAATAAATAAATTAATGCATGTAAAATATTACATGAAAAGCTTAAAAAACACATTTGTTTTTTATTTAATTTGAAGAGAAGCCGTGACAACTAATAGTTGAAGTACTACTAAAGCTCAAATATGACAACAGCACAACAAAAATATTAAAATCCAAACTAAAATTAAAACTGAAAATATAAAAATAAAAGCTAATTGAAAAATATTTTACTTCATTTAAATTATATTTGTGCTTTTATAATGAATATATTTATTGCATATGTGTATATGTGAATCAAAAATTAACTATAGGTGATAAAATAAATAAATAAAGGTGGCTTGACTTGATGTGTAATGTATAAGTATAAAAAAGGAAATGGTTTGATTTTATTTTGTTTGGGGGGGGGGGGGG